CCTGTCTCAAAAGACAAAAAAGAAAAAAGTAAAAGAAGACAAAGGAGGAGGAAGAACATGAGGAGGAAGAGGACGAAGAGGAGGAGAAGGAGGAGAAAGAGAAGGAGGAGGAGGACGAGAAGGGGAGAAGGAAGCAGCACACAGCACACTTTGGGAGGCTAAGGCAGGAAGGTTTTCAGTTCAACCCCAGCTGGGGCAAGTTTCTGACTTAGTGAAATGTCCCAAAGAAGAAATAAAATAAAATAAAGGCTGGCAATGTGTCTCAGTGTGAAGGCCCTGGCTTCAATCCCCAGTACTGCAGAAAGAAAGAGAGAGAGAAGAAGAAGGAAAATAAAAATCAAAGATTTTACTTTCATTGTTTCTGGTTAATCATATTCCCATATAATGGCACATTTCAGCTTTAAGCCACTTACAGCCAAATGCAAAGACATTCCACATTACAAAAGAGTAACTCTACAAGTAAAGTCTCTGCCTTGAATTTCACTGGGCTAAAGTTTTATGAGAGATGGGCTTTTGTTTGCCTTTTGTAAAAATTCCTAGATCAACCAGTTGAACTAAGAATGTCCATCTAGCTTTCCTTGTAGCTTTAAAAAATCAATGCTTAAATTTCATACTGTAGGGACAACGAATGTATTATTCTAAGTGGCTTGATTCTGGAGGAATATCAGCTACTTCACAGGTCGAATACAAATATCATTCTCACTTTAAATCTGAGTAAATAGTCTTAAACACTTTCTAAATACTATTACACGTACAAACTTTGCATGTAAAGGTTGAGCGAGTGGCAGAGGGGTATAAGTAAACACATCTTCTCCCATAAGTACACAGCACTGAATGGAGGAGAAAAGGGCTTTATACTCTATTCCCTCAATCAAAGACCTTTTAAAAGAAAAGGCAGAGTTAAAATAATAAGCCCAGTTCTACAAGGAACTTCTGTATTTGAATTTCATTGACTGATAGAGTTAGAAAGGGCCACCTGGGGACCTGTGGGAGGCCAAGCCCTCCCCGCCCCCTCCCCACCCATCCCCCAGCCCACCCCTCACCCTCTGGCCTTTCATATGAATTCAAGTTCTCCTTGGCATCAAAAAAGTGGGAATGCAGGGTGTCCTGGCCATTCTTTCCTATCGCACTCTGTACTCTGAAGATGATTTAGAACTCTCTTTCTTCCTTTTGAAAATTTTTATTTAAAATCTTGATGGATTGCCAGTGACCTTTAGGAAGGAATCAATGATATACAACTGAAAGAGGAAACTTGGGAGTTTGATTCCTTGGTCTTATGTTCTTCATCTACAAAATGGGAATCAGTACAGGGTTTTTGGGAGAATTGGAAATGATCAAAGTCTTGGCATGTTGCCTGGTGTGTGACTGAGCTGGGTAAGTGGCGGTTATTATGATTATTATAGTCATTCTGTAAGCAAACAGTTCTTACAAAGCCTCTCCTTACAATAATAACCTGCTTAATAATTGCAGACACGTAGCTTCTTCAACTCCTGTCAATCTTGACTCACCCCAGAGCAGTGCTCCAACATGGGCAGATGTATACATTTGGGTTAGAATGTCAGCCCCACTCTCATTTTGACTTAAACATCAACTTCTTGCAACTTAGTACCAAATCACTGGTACTAAGACCCTGCAGTAGCTGGGCCTGGGAGGCTCAGAGTTAGCAAACCATCTCCCATAGGAGGACTAAGGAATAGGACAGATTCTGCATGAGATGAAAAAGACACAACACAGATTTTTTCAAAGGGGAATTGGTTCACCTGGCTGAGATGGGCCCTTTGAACAGATTCTAGCCCATCAAAAATCTGACCAAGAGTTCCTACATTTCTTTTGGAAGGCAGAGCATTCTTTCAGAGAAGGCAGACAAGTTTGCATTATAGTTCAAGGAATAAATTATTCTTCTAGACCAACAGGACAGTGGTGAGAATTGAGCAAATGCCCTGGAAGCCTTGGTGGGGCAGGAAATTTGCAACCAAAGAAGAAACTTGTGTTCTACAGCTTATCCTCCTCTTCTTGGCCTTTTCGCATCTTACTCAGCTATTAGGCATCTGATGCATCTATAGTTCACATTTGTTCAGTCTTAGAGGGGGACAGTCCAGCCCATGTTTGAACGAAGCTTTCTGAATCACAATTTCTGATGTTTTTCTGCTATTCCAGGATGGGGACCATGAGTCTTACCATCAAGTAAAAGAAACTCCAGAAACACTAATACCTTGATGAGTCAAAGAATCCATATTTATCTACTTCAAAGCAAAATGTTCAATGCCTGGCAATTTCATAAAACATCCCACAAGATTTCCATGCAGCAGAACAACTCAGATACCCTTTGCACTGACTGATAAATCCTAACATTTTTTGAAATAGAGTGTCATATTGAAATTTAAATAAAGTAAACAAAAGTCTGAAGGTACATTCACTACGATTTTCCAGAAAATCGTGAGGAATAACATTTCTTACGTCACTTTGGTGTTTAGTAACCTCCATGGCGTGTTTGATCGCAGGTGGCTCCTTCATCCGGGCATAATCTGAGAGTCCTCTGGTAGCATCATGTTCCTGTTTATAGGCGACCTTAAAACACAGACGTAATTATTCATTCCTTTTAGTGGCACTGAAAATTGTTACTTGTTAATCTTTAGTGTATTACTAGGATTTCATAGAGTTGAAATACCTCCAATAGTTACATTTGCCCGGGTCTCCACATCAAGATGCTATACATAAGGATCACATTTTAGTGCTTCAATTTAGATTTATAATTTTAACTCTGTTGTTTAATTGAAAATGTCCTTGACCAGAAGATGAAACCTCCATTTTTATTCATCTAGCTTAAATCTTTATGTACAGTTTTGGGAAATCTTCCACATATGAAAGTTTTCAAGGTTATAAGAGTTTAAGGTTTAAATCTTGAGAAAACAACTGATCAGACCAAAGAAGATTGTTTCTTTTTAAGTGAGTAACTCTGGTTTTACGTAGGCACAGGTATTATATAATGTAAATCTTATGAAATGGTCAGACTTTTGGGAGAAAATATAATAAGCTAGCAAACTGCTCAGGTATGCTAAGGTTTATCCTCTGCTAGGAATCTGAAGGTCACACCAATGCCTTCCACTGCTGCCAGGGCCAATTTGTTTTATGTTGGATAGAGTGGGGACACAAGAAAGATACCAAAGTAGATACAATCAAACTGGACAACAGAGATAGAAATTAAAGATCCAAAAGATAACAACCAAGTTTTTATTCTCAATTTACACAATTATCCTCTTTATTTTCTTCACCAATTTCTAACTCCTTTTTGTAATGTTTGCAGAATCCCTTATCGTCCATCTACACTTAGTAGAACATGTCTGATTCCCTCTATCCTCAGGGTCTAGAATTAGTGTCATGCAAAAAATTAGCATCAATGAATATCTGCTACGTGACTGAATAAATGAATGAGTAGGAATAAAACAGCACCGTATAAAGGACAGAGGGGCAAAATTAATTTTACATACACTAAGAGATTAAGAATAAAAGTATATGAAGTAGAATTGGAATCACTTAGCATAATAAAGGCAATCTAAAAATAAAAACTAGAACAATCTTCACCAAGAACAAAAACAGGTCTAACTTTCACTGGAAAAAAAAAAAGACTTTAGGAAGAATTCTTCACCAACGGGAGCTCCTCAAGAGCCCTATCTTACACATCTTTTAATATCCTGTGCCTGTCATAGTGAATGACACAGAGTAGAAATGCAATAAATGTTTAGTGAATGGATGAATAAATGAGTTTATTCAATATTCTCATAAACTTTACATACCATGTTGGCTTTTACAAATAGAATTAACCACCCATTTAGCTTAGGTAATATGCCATCTTAAAGGATTAAAATGATGATTATGAAACTAATTTTTACAATAAAATCGTCAAATCTTATCATCCAAAACCAGCCTACTACAACCATGGATGCTTAAATCCACTCTCCAGCTCATTTTCTTTAAAACACCTACTGCAAAAGAACTCAGCTTGGGACACCACAGTCTCTAAAGTTTGGAAGTTCTTCTTTTAATCAAACTCCAATCTATCTCCCCATAGTTGCTTTTATCTGACCATAGAGAAAGCCAAGTTCACAGTACAGAATGCCCAAGCCATCAGGGAATCCTATTCCTCCAGATCCTTTGAGTGGATGAAGGGGTTGAACTCCTGATCACGGGCTGGAGATATAGCTCAGTGGCGTAAGCGCCTGGCTGGCAAGTGTAGGATCCTGAGTTCAATCCCTGGTATTACAAAGGAAAGAAAAAAAAAAAAAGAAAAGAAAAGAAAAAGAAATACTACTAAGCATCTGACTGAACGCCTGATCATACCGCTTCTTTTTAATTCAAACCCCAATCTCTCCTGCCCTTTATGAAGGCACCCACAAGGCTCTGACTTAAACCTAACTAGCATCATTTCCATTAATCCAGGTCAGCCTCTCCCACCTGCTAGGAACACATCCATAACACTTTCCCTTTGATGGATACAATGCGATTTCAGCCAACTAATGCAATGAAGTCACATTCAGGGCTTCCTAGCCAGATTCCCAGGTCTAATTTCATGTCTGGTTGGTTACCAGGACTCACAAGTAGCACCTCACATTATTTCAGGTATAACACATCTTGTTAGTCCATCCATCAACTTACTTCACCAAGACGCCTAATTCTGATGAATATGTCTTTACACTTTCATCAATGAGTAATGTTAACCAGGAAAACTCTTAAGAACTTAGGAAGTCCATTACCTCATTTCCATTACACTTTGTATTATAACTCAGGGGCAGGGAGCAGGAGCATAATGGGTGGCCTAAGCCTACTAACCTGAGGGAAAACTTCTATGGGATTTGTTCCTGCTTTTAAATTAAGACGGCTAGCACATCCTGATCTCCTTTTTGATGGTGTATTTTGTACTTTAAACCAAATATCACACTTGTGGTCTTATAAACATGACCAATACAGCTGATCTCTTTGTGAGTTATCACAGAAACAGTGACTCACAAAGTTTAATTTTCAAAAGCACTTTCTTAAAAAGGCTATGTAATTTTCTACTTGCAGCTTTACATTAGTCATTTCATTTATGGCTGCTACTAAGTACCACTTAGAATTAAGATTGCATCAAATTGGAAGCAGCTGAACTTTAATTTATTATATTAATTTTCTTCCTTAAAATAGTTAATGGAAAATTATGGCAGGCCAATAAATTTTCCAATAATTTTGATTTCTTAGGATTTGTCATTATTATATGGTATTTCTCTAGATTCTAAATTGTTTTCAACCCACTTCAAGAATTCAAATTGGCATGATTTTAGACACCTGAAGAATGAAAAGTACTTGGATATATGTTATACATACATTCATATAAGTAATATAGACATTCATCATACACATTTTATCTTCTAGAAGGTTTTCATACTTCATATCCACATAGGCACACATGATACCTGCATATGTTTACCTTCTAGTATATTTTATAATTCTATAAGGTACATGAGCTTTTAATCCTACAGCACAGAGGTCTTTGAATTCCAGAACTAGGGCCCTTTGGCTCCCATAACACACAAACAAGCTGCTCAGCCCAGCGGCCTGGACAGCCTGCACTACTTCTGTGATAAAGGGTTAGTTAGCCTTTGCCTGAAATAGTTCCACTGAAAGAGATCGCACCACTTCCTGGCACACATTTCAGTCCATTTCCAAGTTTCTTTGGGATCTTTGTTCATAAAATTTATAATAGGGAGTAGCTAATGAAACCCCACAATTCTCTTTTCCTCTTTTTTCAAAGACCTTTTTCCTATCTATCATTTTCTATAAATATCAAGGTAAATAGCTTTACCTTTTCACACTACTTTGCATGAAATCATCTAAAGACATACAAAAGTTGATTTTAAGATAACAGTTTGTCAAAACTCTCAGGTTTTTCATTAAAACTCAGAATGCTACTGAGTTCCACAATTCCTATGATACTCTGAACAACATCACCATAAATCTGACACTATGTGGACACAGTAAAAGTTCAGTTGTTCAATTATTACAGCCACTCAGAAATAGCTCTTCAACTTCCCTGCCACTTTCTGCCACATCTACGCAGAGAAACAAACTCCCAACAGTAACAAAATTGATCCATATAAGCCGAAAGAAACATCATTGCAATTATGCAAATCTTTGAGACAGATATTGCAATGCTTTATTCCGAATCTAGGTTTTTTTTCTTTCTGACAAGCTCAGAAATTCATGTTGGTAGCCACTGCTAATCAGGAGTACACACATACCCGCCCCCGTGATGTCTGGTCTATCATAGATAACACACACGAACAACATGCAAACCTGTCCTGACCCCAAGCTGTGGAAAATCCCAAAATAGGCAACGTAGATTATTTTGCATATGAAATCGCACATTACAAGTATGTGTGTACTACACACCACATATGCTATTCAAAGATGAGAAAAACTGTATGTGTCCAAAGAAATAAGGATGTTGACTACCTAAAAATGTTACCTTTCCAAATAAACATAAAAACACAAATATAGGGGTGGGGAGATAGTTCAGTAGAACAAGTGCTTGAATGGCAAGCGCAGGGTCCTGAGTTCAATCCCCGGTACTGCAAATAATAATAATAATAATAATAATAATAATAATATACATATACATATACATATACATATACATATACATATACATATATATTTGTTTTCCCCATTCTGTCTTTATGGAATGATGGTTGCTTGACCCATATCAAATGTTGTCTTACAGTTTTGTGCTTTATAAAGTATCCAGTATTACCAGCAAGTACCTTGATGACCAGATGTTGGAAGAACAAATAAAGGGCATGTGGGTCACATCCAGCCATGCAGAACTGTGACATAGTGTATTTTTAGCCTCATGCTGCATTAGCAGAGATTACCTTACTGCCAACATGGGTACACAGGAGATGTTTACATTTGTAATAATAAAACACTTCAAGATGCTGTGATAAAAAATAAGTATGCTCAGTTTTATTAAGAATATTTGACTTTTAGGCCATTTTGCAATTGTTGAGGTATCCTGTACTTAAAAGTAAAGAAGAGAAAGGGATAGAAATGAAATGGAAACAATAAGCTTGTCTTCTGGATGGTGAACAACCTAAGTTTGCAGACCAAAATTAGAGAAAAAGGAGGGCTGCAAGGAAAGCCAACATTTTGGCCCTAGCTTTCTAAGGTCAATTAAGACTC